TTCATTATTCATACATGCATAATATATACACTTCATATTTAGAGAGAGATCTTTTATGGAGAGTGGAAGAGAGAGAGAGAGAAAAATATAGATTCTTCTTCACTGGCAAGTCAGATTTTATACATCGGTAAGTTCTAATCTATGTTCGTGATTTTCTTTTTATATATTCTCTTTTTGGAATTTTTCAAGGGTACATTTTATGATTATCTATACAACAGAACCAAGAGAGAAATTAGCAGGTCTTGTTATGGATTTCTTGATATTTTTCTCATTTGGTTCTGTGAAGAGATACATGCCACCTGATCGAAATTAGCAGGTCTCTTTAGGTTGGATGAAGTTTACATATTTAAAGTTTAACTTGTTTGTCTTTGACTCGCACCTTTGAGTGGAAGACAGAAGGCGCAGAACGAAAGAGCTACTGGTATACAGCATCAGCTTCAAGTTTGTAGAGGATATGCAATGTAAAACAAATAAATAAAAAACTATTTAAACCTTTTGACGAGTTCGATTTCCAATTAGACGGTCAACAGATTTCTACCTAAACTAAATTTTTTAATATTTGTTATTCTAATACTTTGCTGAACAATCTTTGGTGTTATTTTGAATTAGAGTAATTCTTAGTCCTTTCCCCAGTACTTTAATTATTCAATATGTCGGATATTTCTTATATAATATTGCATGTCCGTACGCATTTATCTTCAACACGAGGGGATCCACAGACTGGTTTTTCATGGTTTATGCATTTAAGGACTATGTTTAGGATGGATTTATTTCTGATTCCATTTTCTTATAACTTTTTGCCAGTTTTAGTTGAAGAATACTGGTTGCACGAGTGTAAACAAGAAATTAATACGGTGAGTAAATTTTATATGGGCTATCAAAATTTCAGTCCAAGATATGATTTTTGCAGTGTGGGGATGCTGGGTTTTTGGGGTTCATTTTTTACACAGAACGAGGAAGAGAGTTCCAATAACCAAGTGGGGTTGACGGGTAGGGTTAGGTGGGGTGGGGGATTGGATTCATCCAGTTGGAAGTGTAGGTTTGTCTTAGTACAATGACTGAATTTGGCCCACAGCTTTTGGACCTTCTGTATATAAACACATACTCGTGCCCATTTATTATTTTATGCAGTAAATTTATTATATTATGGCCTGTTGGAATTTGGTGATCGGAAGGGTTTGGTAGGGATGGACTTGTGAGAAATGTAGATTAATATATAAATATTTTTTTTTCATTTTTCTCTTTTCCGGCTCTCTTTTTCTCTCCATTTTTGTCCATTTCATTCTCCTGCAAGCTCATAAATATTTTGGGGGCACAGAGAGAGAGAGAGAGAGAGCAGTATACAGCAGACTTCTTCGTTAGGGGAAATCTATGTCAGTTTCATTACCAAGAATTCCAGAATGATGCCTTATATTTTATGTGTCCAAATAACATGTATATCATTGTTGTAATTTTCTGTGTTTTTTGTCATCTGTAGGAATTGATTATAAGTTAAATCGTTCCCTAAAGTTTTAGGGCAAATGGGCTCCATGAATTCAAATAATTGGCTTTCTTTTCCTCATTCTCCCTCTCATTCTTCCATTCCACCCCACCTACAAGTTGCTCAATCTCATCAGTTTTCGTTAGGGTTAGTGAACGAAAATATTGATACCTCATTTCCAGCCCAAGGTAAGCCCGGCCATTGAATCTCGTATTTTTCTTCTGAAAAGTTAAGGTTTTGCTTGTAAGCATTATGTTATAAGCCTATCTGACTATGATACTCACTGATCGATGCCTGCAGAGTGGAATTTGATGAGCAATCCAGGACACGATGAAGTTCCAGAGGTTGCTGATTTTCTCGGCATCAGTAAATCCGGAAACCAGTCAGAACTCGTACCTTATAACGATATCCAGTTGAACGACACGGAGTACTTATTCTCAAACAACAGTCTTGTGCCAGTGCAACATACCACAAACTATGATCTTCAAGAGAATCCTCATAACATGCAATCGTTGACACTTTCTATGGGTAATGGTAAAGGGTCAACAAGTGAAACTCTTGCCATTGTCCCTGCACCTAGTGCTGATAACAGTAATACTAGCATTGTTGAAGCTACCCCTAGGAGGACTCTGGACACTTTTGGACAAAGAACTTCGATTTATCGAGGTGTAACTAGGTAGGAATCTACATTCAAAAAATGTATTATTTCATATTATTTTCGTTAGTTTGGAATTAGATTGAATTCTTAAATATATTGTTGTTTGGAATTATAGGCATAGGTGGACAGGAAGGTATGAAGCCCATTTGTGGGACAATAGTTGTAGAAGGGAAGGTCAATCAAGGAAAGGTCGTCAAGGTATAATAAATCTGTAGCTAGATTTATGACTTATTTCTTTATTTACTCATAATTAATTATCTCAATTGGTTGCTAATTATTTTTGTGGTTTTTTTCTAATTTATGGCGGACAATCATTGTTCAACGCCTGCAGTATATTTGGGTGAGTTACACCTTATGTAGAAATCGTTGATAATACACAACATATATATAGCTTGATAGAACCAATTGATTTGTGTATCGGAATATTAAGTTATATGGAAGAAATGAAATTTATAGGGTTTGATTTTCTTAAAAAATAATTTGTTTCCCCATCTTTTGCCTTCAACAGG